CTCGAAGCACCTGGTTACAGTGATGCTTGGCTGTTACGGGACAGGAATCAGGGAATGACAAGAATCACAAGGCTTTTTCAGGGATCTCCGTGGGTTTCAGCACTGTGACCTCCATGACGACATCAAACTTCACTGCACCCTCTTCGCTCAACACTAAACCTCTCCACTTGTGATTTGGCAAGTGCTCCCCTGAGGTTATTTCTCACCATTTCCATTCATTCACCTCCAGAGGAGAAATTTGCTCAGCTCTTCCCCAAAAGAAAGCCAGCTGCTCTCACTGCTCCTTGGCAAGGGCTGTTTCACTGCCACATGAGGCTGCCGCAAGAACCACGGCAGCATCATCACCAGCTGATCTTGATGGTGCCACCTGAATGTGAGAATTAAGGAAAAATCCTAACAAGGCTAATAGCGAGGCGGTGGGTGAGGTGGGCAGAGCGGCAGCAGAAGGCTCCGGGATTTCAGGGTTTCAGCTTTGCCACGCAAAGCAGCTTATGGATGGCACATCCAAGCTGGAGCCTGGATTAGAGGCAACACTGGCTCTGGCCTTGGGGAAATCTCCGTGCAACGGCTCACGGCACCCGCTGGGCAGCTCAGAGGATGCCCTTGTGTCCCCCTCCAAGAGCATTTGGGCTGCTGACCCCAGCACCAGCCTCCTAATGGAGTGGCACCAGCACTCCAGAGCTTGTTACGCTGGATTTTGCAGCACGCAGCAGCCGAGCAAATGCAGTGTGTGCCCCAGTGCTCACAAAGCCTTTCGGTGCCAGGGCTCGAGAGCGATGACCCAGACGCGACTGCACAACTTGGGCTGCACGGGGTCAGGTTCCTCTTCTTTGCATTGTTTCAAAGGGGAACTCATCTGTCCACGTTGCACACCACGTTGGTGTCGCCGCTCAGTGATGCCTGCTTTTAAGCTGGTGCTGTACCAACACAACGTTGTGCCTCCATCAAGGAGAAGTGTGGCCACGGTGGAGGATGGGGATGCCCCAACTTGCCCAGACACGACCCCAAACAACCTGCTGTAGCTGTGCCGTTGGTCCTGCCACAAGCAGGGTCAGGCCAGAGACCCCCCCTACACCTTTCTTCCCAGTCACACGTGACTTCTGGAACAGCCAAATATTTAGATGATGATGCTGACACACCCCAAGGGCAGCAAGATCTCTAGCAAATCCTGGCCTCTGGGAAATCAGGCCTTGCTCCAGTGGCTTTGGCTGCAGGGATGTTTCACAGCTCAGTGCCGTGGAAACCCACCCACCATGCATTTTCAGCTGGGCAGCACCTCCCATCTACAGCTGTCTCATAAAAATTTTAAAAAAATCACACACACACCAACAACTAAAAATAATCTCTTAATTTATTTTCATGTGCTTGCACAAAAATACTGTCTGCATCCTTGGAGACGTGGTTTATGAGCCAAGGGGCTGGGCACCTGTGCTGTCTTCCTAGCTCTTTTTAGAAATGGGCTAAATTCTTACAAACTGCACTAAACGAGTGCTTTCCTAGATCTGGGAGAGTTATCCTAACAGCCATGATATGCTCTGTGCAGGCAGGGTCACTCTCTGCAGCCTGGCACAGGGGCAGATGCAGCCCTGGCATTACATGAGGACAGGTCCACCGGGCACGGCAGAGCCCTGGCTTTCGGCTGGGAAGGTGCACATGGGCTTGGGCTACTGAATATGGCCACAGCTTCTTACTCTGACCCTCACCTCGAGCTAGTTCAGCCTAGATCTGAACATCTTCCCTCAAGGCTCATCCCTTCTCAGTGCAACTCGCATGGTGAGCCTCTGCTCTCAGAATCTCCCTTGCCTTGGGAACAGAGAGGTCTCTGAAGCCCCTGCGACACAAGACAAGCAGATCCACTCTTGCTGGAGCTGCAGATGTAAAACTGGGGGCAGCAAGAGCTCTTTAAGCACATCATTAAGTGGATACCATCATCTCGCTGCTCACATCTAGAAAATGAGGTACTGTCACAGAGACTTCGAAGTGCCCGCTGCCTGGAGTGCATCCAGGGGAACACATCGGTGAACTTTTCTACTCCACCTCAAAAAAACAAGTTGTTTCTGTTTAAGTCATTAATCTGGGAGGAAGCTAGAGGAAAGAGGCATTCTGATAGACCGTCGTGATATGGGGAAGGATAGGAGCAATTTGAGACTCCCCGTGATTCATGTTTGAAAACCTCTGAATCGAAAAATCTCGATTCGAAAATTATCTCTGAATCTGTGATTTGCTTATTATTCTGAGGTCTCATAGTGATCAAAGCTGTAAGATTGCAGAAAAGATGGGGTCAGAGACATCTCCACTTATCTGTCCCTCGTGGTATTGAAGGCCACTGCCTATGCAAGGCCCCTGCGAGAGCATCACGACTCTTTGGAACATGCCTGTTTGCAAGGTGGCGAGAGGAACAACGCAGCATTAAGTCAAAGATGCCTCATTTTCTGTTTTCTGCATGCCATACACTTTCAAGATTGACCTTTATTTGGATTTTTAGTGGTCTGGCTTGCTTCCATTTAAAATTAAAGGAAGGGGAAGGAAGTGCAAATGTTAGTGTGTTTTAATGGCAAAATCAATCTTTGAAGAAAGGAGCAGAAAACAAACAGTGAAGATGAGGAACAGAGCACAGGCAGAGTCTGGAAAGATCCCGTAAAGTTACAGCCTACTGCTTCATGACAAAGACTGCCATCCATCCCTGTGCACCAGGGCAGAGCTTGGATGGAGGCAGACTGGTGGGATGGGTTCCCAGAAACCATCACCACAGGTCCAGCAACGTTTGACCCGCCTTGCCAAGGTGGCATCTTCCAGGAGAACTGACAACCCAGCAGAAAACCCTCCGGTGCAGTTCATCATGTTACTCCCTTGGGGATCAATTCCTGCAGGATGGCCATGCCTGGATGGAAGCTGAGGAGCACATATGAAAAATGGGGCTTGGTTGCCATCTTCTGCAAGGTACGGTTCATGGATTAAGGTTTTTCCAACACTGCAACATAAAACCTTATTTCAGCTTGGTTGGTTTTGAATTCATGCTAAATCTAGCCAATACTAAATGCCTCACCAGATTAGATTTATTCCATAACCATGTGGCTCTCCGTGGCTACCTCGATCCGTGAAGACAGGAGACCATGTGCCTTTGTAAAAGTTTTGTGCACATACATGACCACCAATCTTCTCGCTTCTGCACAACACGCACTGACTGAAACCTGAGGGTTTGGAGCTTGTCAGTTCGGACACAAAGTTTGAAACTAGAAGACTTCACGGAAAGAAAAAAAAAAATCAATAAAACTGTATGGTATCATGAAATATCCTTCAAATATACTTTTAAAATTAACTTCAGTTTCAAAGTTCTTAGTGTCACTTGGAAACGGTCAAATGCAGCAGTAAATTACAGTGTTCAGTGGCTGTGAATACAGGATGTCGGATTTTTGTGAAATGCAGGGGTTCAAGAAAAAAGAGGCTGAATTGTACTTCTCTAATGGTTAAAATTCTGTCTGCTAAAAACAGCGCTTTATTTTTAGTGCTGTAGCAGTGAGAGGTACTAAACTTGTACCGTGATTTAAGAGGAAGGGCAAGCTAAAATCCAATCTAGAATAAATTATTTCTTTGTTAATTTATGAGTAAATTCAAAACTGACTTCACAGAAACACAGTTTAGCAGCTCAGAATTACTTGAAACCATGACAGGTAGTATTTTCAACATAATTACACTTGCAGTTTATTTTTTCAGTCTTTCAAATCAAATTCCTCGTTCATTCACTCACACGTGTATTTATATCCTTCCCTGGACCTGTCCCTCTATTTCTACACCTGTTCTGCCAAAATAAAGTATAGCGCTGTCTAGAACTCACCTCACTTTCAGACTAGCTGTTTACTTTAAATGAGTTTTTACGATGGTGGTGATGTAACCCTAAGCCTGAAATGTCAGCACAGTTTTCTTATTAACACACTGCCATGGGCTACGCTTAGATAAATCCTTTTCCCTCCTTCCTCTTGGCACTCACCAGGCAAAGCAGCTAAGCCACCTTCTATGTTGGCTGCTCCTACCCCGCTTCCTCCACCACCTGGACGGAGGAAAGGGCTGCTCCTTGCTCAGGGGACCCATGGCCAGCAGAGAGCCATAGCACACTGGTGACTAACCCAGCAAATACAGAGCTATTTTAAGTGCAGCCACTTTCCTGGCCAGTGTGTTTTACTGTGTTAAACTCACGTTACAGCCCAGATGTCAACGTCTATTCCCAAGATGACTTTGGGATAGCAGCCCTATTGCTATGAGAGCACTAGAAACGGACACGCTTTCACATCTCCACTCTTTCTTTTAAGAGCACAGCTGGGCTGGAGATGCTTGGACTGCACGCAGGACAGGTACCATGTTTCAGTGGCACATCATTGTGGTTAATGTCACCAAGCTCTTGAAATGAGCTCTTCCAGCAATTTCCAACCAAGGGCTCCAGAAAACCATGGGCTAAGAAAGCTGGCTGGCAGACAATGGCTATCCCTCACTTAAAAGTTGTTCATGCTAGCCATGTTGTCCTGACAGCAAAAAGTTGTCCTTGTTCCAGCCATGTCACGTGGCTAGAACTTGAGTAGATATGGTTAGACTTTGCGTAGGCTGTCCAGCTTGAGAAGCATAGCAAGGTATGTCCCATCAGTGATACCCCATGGTCAAAACAACAACCACAACCAGGGCTGATCCACACCAGAAGAAATGACCACATGTATGTATGTATGTATGAAAGCTCTGGGATCAATATGCCTGTTCTTCCTGCCACCTCCAGGGCTCCAAATGCTCAGAGAAGGAGTAAACTGCAGCTCCATGGGTTTTTGTGCTGCTTCAAGTCAAGCTCCTCTCCTTGACTTGATTTTCATGGGCTGTAAAAGTATCAGGACACCTGGCAAGACTACTGGAGCTGAGTGCCTCTGACTAGAGCCAGAAAAAGCTTTACTTCAAGCAAAGTAACCACTCACAGCACAGATCCTGGAAAATTCTATTCAATTCCAGCCCAGTAATTATTACAGCACACCAATAGATCTTCCTTTATTTATTTTTGCAAGATAAAGTCCAGTGATCTTAACACTAAACTAGAATTTAATCCAGCATAGTAAAATTCATCATAAATCTCAACTATGATTAGCAGCCAACTTTGAAATTGCTATAAATGAGACTTCACAGCCTCTGCAAGACTCATTGCAGAATCTATGCAGCCTTCGAAGTTGGAACGAGTAAATCCATCACCCCCACAAATCAGGAGAGGTTGAGTGTGAAGAATCATTTGTCCTGAACAATTGGGCACGGCTTTTGTAACCTGAAAAAAAAAAAAAAGGATAGAGGGAGATGGAAAAGAAAGCATTTTATACACCTGAATTTCACACCAGAAAGGTCAGTATTCCTGAGAAACATGCCTTCATATGAAGCACCCTTCCCATCCCAGATCATAGGTCCAAGCACTAACGACCAAAGCACCACAGTAAAATATTTATCTTCTGGAGTTAAATAACTAGAATAAAGTTTTCCTATATGTGGAAATTTAGAACCTTTATAGCCCCTTCCTGTCTTACTCTCACTCCATCTCACCAGAAATACATTGCCTGACCATGGACCTACAAGGCACGGAGATCTCTAAGCCTCATGTATGAAGAGACATGACCTCACATCAGCAAGGTGGGCTTGCAAAAACCTCTGGATATGGAAATATTCAAGGAAAGGGAGCCTGACATTTCCAAGACAGCCTGCAACATAAATAGGTTGACCAGGTGACTTTCCTGGATGGGAAGTGAAGTGGCCTTCAGAGTAACTGTCATGATGACTTGTCCGTGCTTCATGCTGCTGTGCATGGTGGCCAACCCACCTCATCTCCAGCTCTGCTGCACTGGTCTCCTTTTCCCTCTGAGTAGCACAGCACTTTATAGGCACTGCTAGAGATACAATCAACACTTTTTCTGTCAGTAGCGTGGGACAAGTTCTGAATAAGGTTGCTTTGATAAATATTTAATATAATTCTCAATGTATGCATTGTGTTAATTTTAAATATAATATTCCTGGGACTACAACCTCAATTAAACCGGTATCTGTGGAGTGGCAGCTCTTGAGCAGTTCTGTGTAATGTTTCTAACAGTGAAGGGACTTTGCTTTGGCCAATATCTATTAACCTGAAGCTACCTGGAACTCATGGAGAGAACAAGACCTCTTTTTGGTATTGCACTTTATGACAAACACCAATGCATGTCAAACAGCAGAGTAAAAGCAGACAGCATTTGTGTTTTTACCACGCTTGGCAGTGTCACACATTGTTGCAGCCCGTGTCAAACCTACACACAAACACCGAGTGTCCATGTTGTACTAAATCAGTGCTTCCTAGAGCACCACTGGTGAATCTCAGAATGGAGATAAGGCAGCAGCAGCACTGGCCTAAAGGTAAATGTGAGGGCAAGGCAAGCTCAGGCAGAAGAGATAAAAAAGATAAGAAGATGCAAGACAGCTTGATGATGAAGTGATCAGAGGAGGAAGGTGGGAAGAAATAGGCAGGGAAAAGGGAATGAAAAACAAGACCCATAAGGATGAAATGTTGAAAAAGAGGAAAAAATACCTAGAAAGCCAGAGAGAGAGAGACAAAAAATAGAGCAGAAGCACAGCAGTAGACCAGTAATAGATATCAGACCATAGAGATCATAAAGCAGGATACAGAGAGTACCATTTTCTTTCAATCATTTCTTGACTTTCTGCCTTTGGTCCAAAGATATGTTTTGGATTCCTGTGCAGTAAACTGACACTGCATCCCATCATACGACTGTCAGCTTTGGTGAACAAGACCTAGCATCCAAGGCATCTTGTTCAGTCCAGAGGATTTTGCCATTGACTCAAATTTACACGCAGCTAGCCACTGCCATGCCGTTATCTGCCATTTCCAAGTACAGATCAGCTACAAAACACCCACATTTATGTTACTGGCTGCATTTTGTGTTACTGGCATGTTAGCATCTCTTTAAAGGAGGTAATTATGTGAAATTAATTTGTAGCCAGTTGCGACTCATTCTGCATTAACCAACGTAAGAGAAGACTCTAGCCATGTATGGTAAATCCAGTCAGAGATCATCTTTCTCAGACTAATTTTAGGTCAGTAGTTAATTTATTCCTCAATTTCTCTTACAAATTGAGGTCACTGAGCATAAACAATGAAGAAAGGTTTAGCAGAAAAAGGCTTTTTGACTGTTCTTCCTCCTGGACTAGCCGGTGTTTATTTGATGCTGGCTGTACCAAACAGCTTCTGGTTGGTCATACTGACCAAAGTATCAGTATTTTCACATCTCAGCCTGCTTCTTTTCTCCTGTGTGGCACAATGGTGTGCTCAATGTAGTAAAGGCCCTCACTCCAGACACAGTGACTGGGGAAAGGAATGATCCTGCCCTTTCTTCGAGTTCTTCTGAAAACACCATCCAACACAAATTTCAAATTATCCTCAGCTCTATGGCACAGCCTGTTGGATCCTCATCCTCAAAGACCTCAAGACTCAGCTAGACAAAGCCATAGTTGAGGTCACCTAGTGCTGCTGATAGTTCTGCTTTGACCAACAGGCTGGACTAGAGTCCTGAAGAGGTCCCTTCTGAGATTCCCTCTGAAGAGGTCCAATTTCTGTGATTCTGTGTTTTCCCAGTATCCCTTGTACATATAAAGTGACGCTGTCAAAGGGACATGATGGGTTGGGAAGCTGTTTGCTCTGGAAGCTAATAGTGTCTTATCATAATTACAGCAGGGGATCCAGAATTGCAGCTGTGCTGCTAAGTAGTGTCAGTAGAAGTTTGGAAGTCCTAATCCCTCATCCGCCATGGATAATTGTAATGTCTGCATTTTAATCCCAGGATTGTGTTTGGCCATGTGAAAGACATTACAGCTGGATTTAATTAACAAGTAGGATAAATCCCCTCTAAAGGAGTCAGGGGAAAGATGCACCCATCTTATCAGTTTCCTTTGCTTCTGCGGCAACAGCTTATTATAATTGAAAGTAAAGACAGCTTTAAGAGAAAGAGCTCCATCCCAGAGATTTAATTTGGGCAGTGATTATTTTATAGGGTGGCAACAGAGATCTCTTTATTGAGATAACAGATCTGACCTACACTGACTTATTTGCAATCTAAGACATATTGACATTCATCCACCGAATTAAAGGCTGGTGATAATTCCTCCCATGACACAGCCATAAAACGCAAGCAGCTGCTGAAGTCAGTGGGTTTGGTCAGCAGCAGCATGGCCGACAGCAGGCAAAAGAGGCAGGAGAAGAAAGCGGGAAGAGCTGTAAATTGTACAGTGGCTTGAGAAAATAACAGAGCATCATCCAGCAGTGTAACCTCTGAATGTAATTTTTAAATAGCGGAAACAGGATGCACACCTAACGATTTAGAAAGACAACAATTTTGAAGCGACTGTGGAAAATAAAGAGTTCATTCCTACAGTCACTCTTCCAGCTGCCTGGATGAAGATGATGCAATAGGTACAAGGTGATAATAAATCCTGCATAGACATAATGTTGCCAGGCCTCAAAAAGCACAGTTGTTTGGCAGAATGCAATTGAGACTTTTTTTTTTTAATGCAGCAGGCTGAAATTAACTGCTGTTCTTGTCTTTAACGATGTTTTCGCGGTGAAATAAATCAGAACGGGCCATAGATGATGCATATGTAACCACTGACACTATGCTGAAAGTGTGAGCGGTGCAAGAAAAAGGCATATTAAGCCCTTTCCTTGCACACATAAACAAAGCAGCTGAATTTGACAAATTTTATGATAGAGCTCTGTGGTAGCAGCTGTATCTCGGGTGTATTAATTCTGTTTAAAAATACTTCTCACTTTGTTTTGGGAGCTCTTTCCAGAGTTGGTCAATCACATGTCTGGCTCTTGGGGACAGATCCAATTCTTCTCCTCCCTACCACCTGCAGCTCTGGTGCTCGCCAGGAGTTTGAAGCAGAAAGCTAACAGATAATGCAGGAGAAAAGACCAGAAGTCACATCCAGAAAAGGATGCCTTAACAGGCACAACTGTACAGAGATACTGTGACTAGCAAACAAAAAATCCCCCAAAACCAACAAACCCTGAACTGATACAGAGGAACATATAAAACATACCAGGATATAGGTATGAGTCATCTGAAACATTAAAACCTATGTTAAGGTCGTTTTTATACAATAACTGAGAACAAGTTCTATGAACTGGGAAGTGATTTGCAAACTACCAATACTTAAACTCGCAGAAAAATAAACTCTGTGCTAATGAGGCCAAGTTCCTAAACTGGATGCAGATCAAGGGGTATGCGCAGACTTCACAACAGTCATCTACAGTAACATTTCCAGACTTCATAAAAGGAAAAAAATTAGGGGACTGCTTTAAGTAAATATTTTGCATCAACTTCCACATCCAGTTTCACCATGTAATTTAACTTAAGAGGCTTTGGGTAAACATGAAGATACAGTCCAATACTTTAGGAAATTGCCAACCATTTCCTTGGATTTTTAAAAGAAGACTGTAAAATATACACATTTTGCTATTAATACCTTTAGGTAGTTTACTTTAAAATATTTTTCACATAACATACTGGGCCAAATTGAACTAGGCCAAATCAAATAATAACAATTAGTACGTCTGAACGCAAGCACTTTTGCTACTCTGTGGTAGGGTGGGAATTTTGCTAATAATATCACATACTTTTGGATACAGAGGAGAGACTGAGTAATATTTTAAAATACCAGTGAAAATCCCACCAAGGTATGTGGGATTTTCTTCCTTCCTGTGCACTGCTCCTGTCCCTGCTCACCAGAAGCACTGCATAACTTACCAGTGAGCCAGGTCCACTACATAAAAAGATTATTAGAAATGATCCGGCTGTTGTTGGCCAGCCTAGGATGCTGCTCATGGCTACATGGAGGAATGTATTACAGATAGCGAGCAACCATCCCTTTTCCTCTGAGTCCACAAGGATGTAAACCACTGGGGTCATACAATGTCCAGTTTCTTGTGATGCATCTCAGGTTTGTACTATGGCCTTGCCCTGGTAGCATCCTGCCAGCTGCCTGATCCCACCACAGGTTACCTGAGAGTATCTCCATTTCTGACACTTGATGCCAGCTGGTTTAGGCAAGGATGGCACAATTTTCTCCAAGTGACTGAGAATCAACTGCTGCACCTCTGCTGGGTCTGAATCCAGGTGCTCGCTTCCAAATGTCACAGTTGTGTGGACTACAACTGAGGGCCCAATTTCAGGAGACTCTGAAATAAAGGAGAGAGATGCTTTTGAAAGAGTACTCAATACTTGCCATCCCTGCATGCTGACAGTTGTGCCCCTAGCCTAGGAGTCAATAAAAAGGAAAATATATGTGGCACCACCTTGTTCTTCCAGCTGGAAAAACACAAGGAGCAACAACACAAGTTGTTCAGGAGAAGCGCAGTGAAGAAACACAAGCTTTTTGCAAATTTTGCAATGGTTTTCCCACTGCAGTAACCCCAGCTCCACGTATCTCTTCTAGAGGAACCTCAAGGCACTTCCACACCTCGTAAGTAGGACCTAGAAGAAGCAGAGAATATACTGAAAGCAAACTCTTCTCCTTTTTCCTCCCAGACATTTTGACAGGCTATGCAGAGAGGGCAACAAACTGCCAATTGTGGCAACCTGGCAAAAGAGAACAAAAAGAAACATGGAAAAATGACTTTGTAAGAATTTTTCCAGCCAAGTCTACGTATATAGTCACAGGGCATTCAGAAGCACATGGTCATAGCTGCCCACCCACAAGCTCTGGCTTGGGTGGTGGGGAAACCCTTTACCAAAAGCTCAAGCTCATCCAGCCATGTGGTAAGATTAAGGTTTTAGATTCTGCACCCTTTTGGTTTATTGAGATGGAAAATTATTCCTGGAAACAGAACAGCTCTGCCGCTGCTCATGGGGATTGATACCCAGGGGCTTGGCGCACCGCTAACGGCCGCAGGCATGTGAAGTCCTTCTGAATGCAGCAGTGCATGCCAGATATAAACCAAACAAAATGCAGCTGCAGCCACCAGCCACCTCGTCTATCTGAAGAGCTGGAGGAGTGTGGGCAGCCAGGTCACCGCAGCCCACCTACATCAGACTGATTTTATAATAAGTTAACTTTATAATAACATAAATTATATTTATATTACCTATATCAGACTAATTTATATTCCTCCTCCCTTGTGCATCTGAAATGCACGACCCCTGACGGGAACAACCTCTGCAACACAGTAATATGAAATACGTGGACACGAAATCATCATGGGATAAAAACTGTCTTTAAGGCAAAGGACAAAAAAAGAAGAGTGTTTGTTGCATTACTGTGAAAAACATCTGCTCCTCCTGTAATTGGTTGCATATTGGCCATGCAACAGTATTTACATAGTGGAAAGGCTAGCATAAAACCAGTACTTTACATTTATGGAGCGGGAGAAGAGGAACAGAAGCCAGGCCAGGTTAGCTTGAGAAATCAGCACTTCCTTTTGGCCTGCACAAGTGGACTCAATTCAAATCCTGCTGCTCTCAGAACTTCCAGGAAATCAATCTGTGGCTGTCTACATGCAGGTTTTGGGGAGTGTGAACCTTCAATACAACTTCTGCCCTTGGGCAAACACATGCAAGTGAACAAAACTCAGAAAAAAGAGTTTGTCCCTTAAAATCCACCCAGGCTGCAGTGCCAGGGAAGGAACTGAGGGCAGCTCAAGTGCTGACATTCATCCCAGCAGACTTGGAAATGGCCAGGCTTCATTAGGGCTGGGGCTGGCTGTGGGTTCTCTACAGCAATGGACTTCTGTCCTCACCAGCATGTCAGCTTGTCACTGTACAGACTTGGTCTGGATGGCCAACCACCAGTGGCCAGAGAATTTGCCTGGAGGACCTTCAGGCTCAGTGACTTCCCTGTGCTGAGGCACGATGAGGACCCAGCAGATCCTTGTGTGAGTTGTTCCTGCCAGGGCTGCTCCACTTCGAATGAGCAGGATGTGCTTGGTGGAGCAAGGACACAACCTGGGTTCTGCTATATTTCAGCTGAGAACCTGAATTCACCGAGCTGGCCATTAAGTTATTCCCTCTCACTCCATTAGCCAGAAAGTCCCTCTTTTGGAAGGAGAAGGCCTTTTCTAGATAAGCTTTGTTTGAATTAGCACATCCCTAGAAAAATATTTTAGTTTCAGCAAATGAGCATTTCATGACCAAGGAATCCACAAAGAGTGAGTCAGTTGAACACTTTCTGGCCGGTTCTGGCTGTTAGGTACCAAGCTCGACAGCAGTCTTCATCTCTGCTGTGTCAGTGCAGAGATCTCCAGCTCCAGCTCCTCCAGCTGGAGATCCCCTTTGAGAAGATGAGAAATTCCAGCTTTCCAAAGGCAATCAAAATATCTTTCTCTGATAAGCTTTCTGTCCTGGGCTGACCACTTCAGAACACACTGCTGAGCTGCAGCAGGACCAAGTCCTAGCACCCACATGAAGCATGAAAGCAAGGGCTTTTACTTCAGTTGGAAGGATTCCTTCACTGGGTCTCCTTCTTGGGTGGGTCAGCTCAATCAGGCCTTGCTTTCGAGAACTGGGAAAATGGCAGAATGTGGCAAAAAGGGTAGGAAGACACTTCCTGGTTGTAATCAGGACTGCAACATGACAGGCCATGTCTGAAGGCACCCAGTGATGGTGCTGCCTTTTCTCAAAGTTCTCCTTTTCCAATTTAGGCACCCCTAAGAGCAGAAGATCACTCCCTTCACTCCCTGGATTGGGCTCGCCAGCTCTGTTTCAGCAAGTACTAGAGCTCTTTTCCTGGGTAATTTCCTGAAGAGTCCAGAAACTTTTAGATTGTTTCCTATTTTAATCTGAGGTGCTCATTCTGCTCTCTAGTGTCTTGGGCATGAAAGCAAGCCTTAACCATCAGGGATAGACAGGTCCAAGACCTCCACCTAACATGGATTTGGGGTGAGTGTAAGGCAGATCTAGGGACTAAGACTGTAAAGTGAAACAAGGACCACTCTTGCCTTGAAGCAGACACAGCCAAAGAGGGTCATCCTCTCCCCTGAGCCCTGAGGAACGCATCGCCAGAGTCTAACATCCAGCCTCAGACTCATTTTCCTGCAATTCCTCCTGCCACCCCCAAGATTGGTTTCACAGGCTAGCATGGGACACATCTTTGCTGCATCAGCTTTTCCAGCCGTCTGGAAAAACATATCATGCTCTCCTTCCCATTTGGGGTAGAAAACAGGTATCCTGATGTCACTACATCGAGACTGTCAGGGACAGAAGACCAAGTGGGGAAGCCTATGACAAACCTTGGGATTTATTATAGTGTACATGGTGTTTAGGCAAATTATTCTACATAAATGCAGCAAAAAGGCTCATTATGATGCATTTTAATAAAATAAATATTCATTGCTTGCTGTGACTTGTTATAGCCAATGATTTTTGGACAGGGCCGCCTTTTCTCAAATCTCTTATCTCTTCCATAGCATGTACGACACAAGTTTCAGGAGAACAGGCAGTTCGTTGAGTTTTTAATTCCTCCTCTGAGCTACTCACAGCTTGGAGAGTTTCCAGAGGCCACTGAGTCATAGCCTTCCAGTACTGAAATATGCAGCCTGCGAGTATCAAGTTTAGCCTCAAGCCCTTTTCTTTCTTCTGCGAAAAATACCGGCTAACAGAGGAGTTTAAAATAGATTTTTCCCTGAAAGCACTGGGGGTATCTCAGCCTTGAATGACTGCTAAACTTGAACGTATGAACAACTGTTAAGCTGTTGCAGGAGTAAAACCATAATTTTCCTTGCAGTGCGTTCAGATCAGGCTGCAACAGCTAGCTTAAAAACAAGGGCTTCTGGCAGGGCTTCTCATGAGATTTTAATTTCCTTTATTTGTGGCAAGGATAGAAGCCATCCACAGCCATGCTAGCGGATGACAAAGTAGCATGGGAGATGTGGCAAGCCCAGGAACACTCGGTAATGCGAGAGGTAATGATCTGAGGGTGAATGGAAGGAGCATAAAACCTTTCATCTGCTCCCAGTTCTCCCCCGCTCTCATCCCAGCTGCACAGCAATTAATCCGATCAGCCGATGCAGTGGAAGGCATAAGACGCTGGGCAGATCAGAGCTAGAACGAGACGGCAAAGTTGGCTGGAGCTCATACCTGCTTAATGAGCACGGAGCCGCTCTGCCAGCATTGGCAGCACCCTCGGCACCCACAGTTGCTGAGGGACACCACTGAAAACGCACGAGTGGAGAGCTTGCGTCCAGCTCTCTTTCCTCCGTTGGCTTTTTGTGCAAAGACCCTGTTGAGCTGCGGCCAGAGAGGGAAGCGCCGGCATCATCTCGTGCAGCTGCAGCAGTTCGGTGGACATGGTTTGTACCCAAGGCTCAGATTCTCCTCTTCCCCATGGCATAGAGAAGATGCAATACTATAACTACAGCTTTCCTTTACTTCTGCATTGAGTTTTCCTCATTTTACTGTTAATTCCTTTTGCTCTGCTACATCACCAACGCAGATAGACAGAAGATGCAAAGTGATGAATGTGAGAATAAACACATTTCAAGACTCATCTTCCTTCCATGTAAACAGAAAAAAAGCAGTGCAATCTTCAACTGTCACCCATCCAGCCCAGCATCCCACCCATGACAGTGACAGTGTCGCAGGAGCTGCTACCTGGTCCCTGCCTGACCTGGCTGTGCGGACCCTGCAAGCCACGGAGCAGATGGCTCATGGGGATGGGAAGAGGGGCTGAGCCAGGCTCTGATGTGTGTCCCAGATTTAACACGGCCACCCTCCTTTTGGGATGTATTGGCCACCACCATGTCTTGGCCACCACCACTACCTACATGCAGCAGCTTGGAGCAGCCTGCAAGGCTAAGCAGAGTAGTAGGGATGAACAAATCCCATTTTTTTTGTCTCAAAGTACAAACTTCCCCTCCAGACAAGTCAAGTCCACAAAGACCTTATGGGAGGCATTGAAGCACTTCAGACCAAAGTCTAACAGCACTGTCAGTCTGATTAGCAGTGTCTTCCCCACTTAGCAAGTCTGAAACCACATACTTGGAAAAGGAAAACTGATTAATTGAAAAGACAGGAGATTAAATAAATGCTGAACTAAATAAGTGGGGAACTGAAAAGTGAGGATCTAACTGCATCTTCCACATCCTAAAGGGAAGGTGACAGAGACAACAGAGACAGACTTTTCTTAGAAGTTCAAAGCACAAAGAGAAGAGCCAATGGGCACAACCGCAATGAGAGAAAATTCCAA